CCACGCGTCGCCGACACCGTCTTCCTCGTGGGCGAGGGCGCCGTGGAGCGCATGGCCGAGCGCGACGAGCCCGTCCCCCGGCGGCCGCCCCGGCGCCCGGCGCGGGCCTTCGAGGATGACGAGGAAGAAGACCTGCTCATGGGGGGCGGGGGCTCCCGGGCCCTGGACGCGGCTCCAGGACTGGGCACCTGAGCCTGTACTCTGGGTGATGGACTTCAGCCGCTCTGGGAGGAGGGGCTCTGGGAAGCTCCGTGGGAGCGGTGGGCAGAGCAGGGGCCGCTTTGGGGGAGTGGCGGGGAACCGGCAGGCCTGGGGGCCACCTTCAGACAGTCCTGGGCGGTCCTCAGACCCGGAGGCACGGGCTCCAGCCAGCCCCCTGTGCCTGTGTCCGGCCCCTGAGAGCGGCACTGACAGCACAGTAGAGAGGCCAGCTTCCTCCTGGAAAGGGGCCACTGCTGTCGGTGGAACCAGCACGTGGCTGGGCCGGGTGCCCAGGGGCCACCGCCCTCCCCCCTCCTGGAGTTTGGCCCTCCTAGGCCGCCTTTCTGGTGCAGGAGCCCCCGCCTCTGGAGGGGACACTGCGGTGAGGTGGGCCTGGCCGGGGCAGAGGCCTGCAGGGGCCGGTGCCCAGGACAGAAGCGGGAAACTGGGATTGGGGCCCACACACCGCAGCTGCCCTCGCCCCTCCACCGGGGCGCATTGGACATACCTCCCTCCCCAGGCCCCCCCTCCCCCCCCAGTTTGTATGGGGAAGCGGGGCTCAGGAGGCAGGGCCTGCACCTCTGCCTTGTACCCAGTTCTCTCCTCCCAGCTTGTGCCTGGAATCTGGCTGCTCCCTCCCCCGCCTGAGCCTCCCAGCTGTCAAGGTTGACAAGCAGCCACTCTGCCTGGAGGCCTCCTGCACTGAGGAGAGCGGTGCGGGGCTGGGGAGGCGGCCTAGCGCCTTTCCCACTGCCTGCACTCTCCATTCCCTTAAATGGGCACAGGCAGGGTGGCTGGCACGGCGCGGGGCATGGGACGAGCACTGTGTGCCTCTCCTCCGTCACCAGGGACAGCCTCAAGTGGGTGAGGAGGGGCCCGCACGCTGCCATTCCCGGGGCCAGATCCTTCCCATCCGAGCAATAATGGGCATGGGCGGGGCGGGCGGGGCCAGGGACACTCAGGGACACGGTCAGGGCCTGGGGCCCCACGTGGTCATGGTTTCTTTAGGAAGAAGAAAAAAACCGGCTGCAAGCAAATTACATTTCTTGGAGAAAGAATGTGCATCTCCCCGCGCCTGTTTTTTTTAATAAGCCCTGGGGGCACCGGGTCCCCTGCTGCGGGGCCCTGGCTCCCCCCTGGCACCGCCCTGTCCTGTGCCTCCGCTCCAGCGAGACGCCCGGCCAGCTGCCGTCTGCTGTCCGGGGAACGAGCCCAAGGCTTTGGCTGCTCAGGGCTCTCCCATCGGCCTCGCTGGGTCTGACTCTGCCCCCTGCCCCCAGCTATGCTGCCTTCCTCCGTCTCCTCCAGGTTAACGCTCAGGTTCCCGGACACCTGAGATGTTTCTTCCTCAGGCTGGGCTGGCCTTTCCCCATTGCTTCACCGGCACTGACCGCCCCCCCCCGCCCCGCCCCCCCGCTCCTGCCCCCTCTGAGACTCTGTTCTAACCTCCTTCCAGCTCCCTCTTCCTCTGTCTCTCCCTCTTGGTTTCTTTTTATTCGGTTATGGTTTTACTTTCTCCCCTCCCTGTTCAGAAAAAAAAATTAAAACTTTAAAGAAAGGAAGAAAGTGGTAAAGCTTCAAGCCTAGAGGCCCATCTCCCATGAGATGCTGCTAGGCCACCATCACCATGGTGACCGGGCTGATGTCATACCAGGCCCAAAGGTCAGGCCTGGCCCAGCAGCTCTGCTGGCCACTGGGCTGGGCCTAGGTTGGGAGGAGGCTGGGGAGGGTCTGGAGCAGTCAGCTTGCCAGTGAGGGTGACAAACAGAAAGTGGGGGGTGGGAGGAGCTTGGGGGCTGCCTCCTGCTTGAGGAGGAAGAGGGGTCCGGGGCTGCTGCAGACGTGGTCCCTCCTAGAGCTCTTCAGGTCCCCACGCTCACCCTGTGTGGCTCCTTCAAGGCCAGTGGGCCTTCTCGGGGCCTGGGAACTTAGAGGAAGGACATGAGGCCTCAGGTCCCACAGGTGGGGTAGGGGTGGCAGCCGGCAAGAATGTCCTCTGACCCCGTGACCCGTGTCACGGCACGGGGGGAATGGCCCTGGTCCTGGCATTAGAAGGCTGGGTTCCAGTCCTAGTTCTGTTGACTGAGTGACCTTGAGAAAGTCATGGCGCCCCGACCTGGGCCTCAGTTTCTCCATTTGCACACAGGAGGTGGGCTATTTAGATCCGACTGCAGCTCAGGAACCATGCAATCTGTCCGTCTACCTTCCCTTTATGTAAATCTTGGATGTCGGGGAGCATGGTACAGGGGCAGCCACCGTCACCACGAGTAACTGTTGGCACTGTGAGCCCCGGTGTCCTTCCTCTTCCTCTCCCTCTTCCTCTCCCTCTCCCTCTTCCTCTCCTCTCTGGTCTGTTTCCCTGTAACTCTTTCCCTGCTGCACTCACTCGAGAGCTCCAGGTCGGGCAAAGGCCCGGGATGAGTCCCCTGGGCCACCCTGGGCGGGCCCCTGGCTTTGCTGCTCCACTGCTCCAGGGGGACCCGGGTGGGGAGGGGCTGTTGCCAGGACAGCGGGGCAGGACAGCTAGCTCCCCTCGGTGATGAAGAGAGCACTGTGCTAGGAGTCCTAGGGGCCCCTCCCCCACACCTAGCTGCCTGTGCCTCCCTCCGGGGAGCGGGAGGAGGGGGCGGATTTTGGAGGGGCCACTTGTAACACCACTGTGTCTGCAGTTCCGGGAGTTGTGCGGGGCAGTCAGCAGTGTTTGGGCCCCGGAGGGGGCGGGTGAGGTGGAGGGGGGGGTCAGGAGGGCCTTGGAGGAGTTGTGGTTGTGCCAGGCATGAGGGCAGAGGCCAAGGGAGTCGGCCTGAGAGCAGGAGGGCAGGCAGTGGGGACGAGAGCAGAGCTGTGGCCATGCAAGAGGCCGGCCCAGGGGGGAGGGACTTGCCCATAAATGGGAGCTGGGCCTCCTAACCCAGAGCTCAGTCCTGCCGGGAGGTCCCCTCTGGCCTTGGCTGGCAGTCAGGTCTGGGTGTGGGATGAGTGGTAGTTGTCAGTCTCCCCTCCTGGACTCCGCGCCCCCCCCCCCAAAGCAGCAGAGAGGGGGGAGGGGGGACCCTTTCCTGGCTTTGTCACGCAACCCCCTCTTCCTGCCCCCCGCCAGGGGCTTGGGCAAGCAGAACAGGGTGCTTGGGACCGGGCCTGCCCAGAAGCCACCTCCTGGCCTCCCAGGCCTCCCAGGCGCCTGCTCAGCATGTCCCAACGCTTCCACAAGACACGTGGCATGTGGTCCTGGATGGACGTTTATTAGCGCACCCAGGGGTGCACACGGAACACGGATTCAGACAGGGGTCCCTGCCCAGGGGGCTCACAAGCTAAACGAGACACAACAGACACGTACACACAGGACACGAACACAGGGCGTGGGGCACCTTCCAGGGAGGCAGACGGTAGAGGAGCCGAGGGCCGGGGCACAGCGTGGTCAAGCATCGCCCTTCGGGGTGTCTCCGTGGGGAGCTGGGAGAGCGGAGGCGGCCCAGGATGGCGTGCCGTGCCCAGGAGGGACTCAGGAGAGAGCCCCAGGGGGCAGTGGACCGGCACGGGGAGGGAAGGGCCCGTCTGTGTGGATGACAAGGGGTCTGACGACGTGGAGGCAGAACGAGGCAGGAAGTCCAGCAGGAGGCCCGGAGCCCATGGCGGGAGGCTGTCCCTCGGCTGGCGAGCTGTCCCTGCTGTAGGCTGGTTCCCGGGGCCATCTCCCCGTACAGAGATCCGGGGAAGGGGCCTCTGAGCTACTTACCTGACCCTTGGGCCCCCTCCGATCTCCAGGGCAGAGATCAGAAGAAGAAAGAAACCACCACCTTTTAACTGGCGTTTACACAGGCTGCCAGACATGGTGGGGAGGGAGAGGGCGCGCAGCTTCCCGTGGGGACCTCAGTGGGCAGGACGCAGCTGCTGGCCGGGGGTCGGGGGGCAGGGGGTGCGATGGCCCCCCTCCCTCTGGGGGTGGACACATGACAACCGAGGGCCCTCACTCCCTCGTGCCCGTAACAGGGGTAGCACCGTCCTCCTGAGGGGCCCTGAGAGCAACAGGCGCTGTGTCCCTGGCGGCCTGGGGAGGGGCGGCCGGATGGTCATCGCTCCTCTGTGGTCCCGAGGGCAGGAAGGAAAGGGCTCACCACAGTGCTCAGGGCCCTGGCCGTTCCCTCGTTCCCTCGGGCTGGGCTGGCCACGGGCTCTTTGGGTTGGAGAGACTTTTCTAACCCGAAAGGATTAAACCAGAAAGGGCGGCGAGAAGCCACAGGCCCAGCCACTGGGCAGGAGCTCCCCGGGCGGGAAGGAGCCGCTGACCTGGACACATGGCGGGAAGGAGCCGCTAACCTGGACACATGGCGGGAAGGAGCCGCTAACCTGGACACATGGCGGGAAGGAGCCGCTAACCTGGACACATGGCGGGAAGGAGCCGCTGACCTGGACACATGGCGGGAAGGAGCCGCTGACCTGGACACATGGCCCAGCGAGTGGGAGTGCGGGCGGCAATGGGGGAGGTCGGGGCTTCTTCGGTTTGTCTGACCGCCTTGGAGGGTGGTGAGGGCCCCCTGGGAGGCAGGGGAGGGGGTGTTGGACTAGGGGAGCTACAGGGGGCCCCTCAGACCTCACGGTGACTCCACTCCTAACAAGCGGGGCTTCAGGAAGGGAGGGCTGATGTGCTAGATCCCAGGACCTGGCGGAAGGGCCTCATCGCCAAGGTGACAAGATGAGGGGAGACTCCAAGGCCCAGGCTCCCCACCCCTCACCCCACTGCCTCTTCCCCTGGGAGGCAGGGAGGGCTGGGACCCACGAGGAAACAGCCAAGGCCCTACTTTTCCACGATCCTTTATTAATCGGAACGGGCCGCGCCACAAAAGCAGGGCCCATTCCCACAAAAATATGATTTTGCAAAGAGGAAGTCTTGCTGGCTTAGAGGGTGAGTGTGGTGGAGAGTTGTTGTATGGTTCTTTTTTCCTTTTTTTTTTGTTTGTTTTCCTTCGGTTTTTCTCCATCTCTCTTCACTGCATTTTTTTTTTTGTGACAGTGGGTTTTTGTTTTGTGGTTATTTATTTTTTTATAAAACACTTGCGCTCAAGGACTCCAACACAACACAAACAACGGCTACCAGCCCCCACCCCTGGGCCCCAGCCGGGTTGGGGGTCCGGGGCCCCCTGGGCGTTTTTGTGGCTGTTTTCCTGGTGTCTGGCACCGGTGGGCAGGCGCGAGGACCTGGGCGGCGGGGTTTGTACAGCGGCGCCCTGGGGAGACGGTCACAAGGAAGGGAACCTGGACGAGAGAACGACTAAGTCTAGGGGCCCACGAAGACGGACGACGCTCGGAAAGGGGCCTGGGACGCAGCGGAGGAGACAGGCTGGGGGGAGGGCAGGCGGGCCGGCTTCGGCTGCAGTAACTCTCTGCTCACGGGTGGCCCCTCCCAGTCCCCCGCCGGGACCCCCCCCCCCTGGCGGCGGCCTCACAACCTCCCCTGTGAGGTAGGTGAAGTATTGTTACCATCATTTGACAGGTGGGGAAACTGAGGCCCCGGGAGGGGGGCGCGATTTGCCCAACAAGGTCCTGGGTTGGCGGCAGGGCTCCGGTGCCCACCCCCGTCCTCAAGTTCCCCCATTCCCCAGACCACCCGCCCCTTCCCGCGACAGCCCACCAGGTCCTTGGCCCTCCTCGCGCGCGCCCCTCTCCTGCGCCCCGGCTGCGCGTCAGGGGATTGGGGAACCCCAGGCGGGTGCCTGGGCGAGTCAGACTGGGAACCGACACCGCGCGGAGATGCTTTCTGCATGTGATTGGCTGAGAACCCAGTGGGTGGGCCTGGGGGGGGGGGGAAGGCTGCGTTTGCCTCGTCCACTCTGCAAATTAGTGCAACTCCTCCCCCGCCCCCCCTCCCCTCGGGCCTGGGACCCGGCTCGCTCACCCGCTCGCCTCCCGCGGGGTGCAGGGGCCCAGGACCCCTCTACCTGTCGAGACAGCACCCTCTCTCCGCTCCCCCACAGCCTCCGGAGTCCCCGCCCTCCCGTCCCCGCTGGGGGCTGGTCCCCAGCCCGCTCGGCGAGGACGGGGCGGACCCCCAGTTTAAGCAAAGCTACACTAGAGAGACATTTGGGTTTACAAGGGATGCGGGCGACCAGTTGTGGACACGAGCACTTTCCACTCCACAGCACGAGTCACCGACTGCGGGTGACATCCCTCCGTCCAAGGGGCAGGGGTGCGTCAATGTCAAAATGTGATCCGGGCGAGAATGCGGCCCGCCGCGGCAGGGAGCAGACGGCCCCGCTCGGGGGCGGGCTACGCCAGGAGGGTGGTTTCCAATGCCCATGCTGATGCCACGCTCCTATACGGGGACCCTGTCCGGGGCTCTCCTTTCCCGGGGTGCCGCCCCCGTCTGGGGTAGGCCTTGGTCCGAGAACGCGGTCACCGGCTGCGGTGTCCTGGCGCCACCTGGCGGTGAGTGCCGGGAATGCCAGGTCCCGGCTCGCGGACCCCGGGCTGGGAAGCTGTGGCCAGCAGTCCTGTATCAATACCAGGTCCCGTTGGGGGGGCGGGGGGGCAGGGGGATGCACAGGCTTAAGCAGGGGTGAACCCGGAATCTGCTGTCTCCAAGGGGTGGAATCTGCAGCAGCGGAGGCGGAGAAACCTCTGAACTCCCCACTTCCCTCCCCACCTCCTCCAGTCACCCCTCACCTGTCCCTCCTCTCTCGGGCCCTGGAACTTTCCCTGCTTCCCTGCCCTGAACTGAGAAGGGGAGCAGGAGCTGCCCGGAGGACGGGGTGCAGGGGTGAGGGGAGGAGACACTCCTGGAGAAGAATGGGTGATGCAGGAGCAGAGAGGTGACAGGGAAGGTGAGCAAGCAGGAGGATGGAGGGGAGGAGTGTGTGTATATATGAGTGAGTGAGTGTGTGTGTGTGTGGGGGGGGGGGGGGCAGGTCTGCACGGACAGAGCGAGATGAAGGGGAAGAAAGTGGGACTCGGGTAGAATATTGCCAGCGGGGCTGGGCTGTGCGATCTGGGATGAACAAGGGTGTCTCTGGAAGGAAGGGCGCAGGTGGGTCCTGGTGGGATGAGGTGCATACAGTAGGCGCCTAAAAGGTGTGAAACAATGCTCAAGGGATGAATGATGTCACCGGGGAAGGAGCTACTGGAGAACTCTGAGCAGAGGGAGGCCCTGGGGTTGGGGGGAAGGGGGTACAGCTGGAGGCAGCCCAGTTCTCAGCCCAGCTGCGTCTGCCCCTCTTTCCCACCCCTCCGCACCCCTCCCCGCTTCTCCTCTCCTGCCCTGGCTCAGTGCACTGTCCCCTCCGGCCTCCGGCCCCGCCTCACTCCATGAAACCCTGCCCTCTCTGCACAGTCTTCACACCGCTGGCCCCAGGGGGACAGGGAGCGAGCCCCCCACCCACACACATGCACGCGCGGGCACACACATACACACACATGGTGGACACAACACAAGTACACACGGCTGCGGCTCCAGCACCCCCGAGGGCTCTGTACCGTCCTTGGCATTCAGGGCCCAGCCGGCACCTGAAACTGCCCGGGCCAGGCCGGGGCCCAGCACCTCGGCCTCCCCTCTCGTGGGCCTCTCTCCACTCCAGGCACCGCCTCAAAGAAAACGGGGGACGGTGCCCACCTGGCGGGCCTCTGGAGGGATCTGCCCGTCTGCCCATCTGGCTCTCGTGACCTCCCCCACTTCTTTAGTATCAGCAAGTCAGGAAGGTAAAGGGGCAAAGCAGGAAAATGGCTCCCACAGCCCCTCCCCCAGAGCTGGCCTGGCGGAGGAGGGGGCTGGTTCTTCCTAGAAACGGGGCCCAAATGATCTCTGGGACCCCTCCCTGGCCGAGCCGGCAGGGTCCTCCCCTCACCCGCGGCAGGGGGCCAGGCCGGGCGCGTTGTGCATAAAGTGGTGCGGGCATGATGGGGGCCCGGTCCCCCGGCCCCTGGGCCTCCTCTGGCCGCCTCAGGCCTTCAGCTGGTGCCACTGGGCCACAGGCTGCCGGGGCCGCGCGATCATGTCCTTCCAGTGCTTGACCTCCCCGGGCCCGCTCTTCCAGGACAGGTAGATCTGCGGGGAGAGGACGCGTCAGTGGCGCACTCCCAGGCGCCGTCCTTGCTCCACGAGGGGTGTCCCTGCCGCCTAGGATCATGGGGACCAAGGGGCCTCCTCGGGCGGGGACCAGCTACCGCACCAGGCCCCTCTTCCCTGCCCCTCCTCCCTGCCCCGCCAGCCCACTTCCTTTGGGAGCCTGGGTGCCCGGCCTGGGGCACAGTGGGACCTCATACTCGTTGTAAGAGGAGGAAACGCGGCTCGGAAAGGCCATGACTGTTCAGAGTTAGGGCCGGGACCTGGCCCCAGGCCGCCTGCCTCCCAGGCTCACAGGCTAACACTAAACCATAACGGAACAGGTACAGCTGTTTCAAAGTAGGAAAATGGAAGGGTTATGCCACAGAGGCACCTCCTGGCAAACCTCCAGGCCAGGCAGGGACCTTCCGGCTCATCTGTGAGGAGCAGCCGCCGCGTTTCACCAGGAGAACGTGGGCAGACCTCAGGCACCCTCACACCACCCCGGGGGTGCTGCAGGTCCGGAGCAGTCGCTCCGTTTTTCGCAAGGGAGAGCAGTGAAGCTCAGAGAGGCAGGGGCTTGCCCACGGCTAACGCAGGGGAGGTGGACGTGCCCCACGCGGCTCACCCTCCGCAGATGGGACCCTGGGGGACGCTGCTCTGAGGTCCTTTCCCTGAAGGTCATTTTGGGGTCCCGGGCAAGCCTTCCTCCCCTGCCTTTCCAGCTGGCTGTCCTGGCGACCGAGCCTCATGAGAAGCCCGTCCAACCCCCTCATCCTCAGAGGCCTGGAGGGGGCAGGGACGGACCCGATGTGGCCCCCTCTCTCCTAGGGCCCAGCCCTGTGCTCGCCCACCTCCCCTCCTGCGTCTTGTGAGGACAGACCCCCGCCCACCTCGCCCCTACCTTGCCGATGACGTCGTTGCGGCTGAGCCTGTCCTTGTCCATGACCGTGATGACGATGGTGGTCTCCCTCAGCTTCTCCGTGGGGACATCGAAGGCGAAGGACTCGTTGAAGATGGGGTTCAGGTTCCTCTTCATCGTCACTGTCTTCTTCTTTTCCACCCGCTTGTCCTTGTACATCAGCCACACCTTCACGTAGGGGTCTGAGCACCAGGGGGGCAGGGTCAGCCGGCAGCAGGCGGCTTCCCAGGATGCCCGTCTCCCCCCAGGGGCGGCAGCGGGGGCAGAGGGTCAGGAAAGCCCCCAGCGAGAGGGGACGGAGGAGCTGGAAGGGGGAACTCGGCCTCCGCGTCGCCCTCCCTCGCACAGGGAGGCAGAAACCGAGCCCGGAGAGGCTGGGTCTCGCCTGAGGCCACAGAGAGCAGAGTCGGAGCTGGGGCCCGAGCCAGGCCCCGCAGTGTCCCTTCCTCATGCTCCTGGGAAGGACAGTCTGAGAGGCCCCTGCCCTGGAGGCTGCTGCGCCCAGGGCTCTAGGGCAGAGGAGTGGGGACTGGAGGTGGGGGAGGGGGAGGGGGTGATGGAAACAGCGTGGACCCTGCCGTCCACACCCAGCATGACCCTGTGTCCCCGAGCTGCCCGGGCCCTCCCTCCTCCCCCCTCCCCGCCCCCCGCCACAGGAGGCCCGCACCTGACGTGCCCCCGATGTCCATGGCTTTGAGGTTCCGGGCTTTGATGATGTTCACGATGATGGAGTTGGCAGAGGGGTTGTAGCAGAGTGACAGGAGCAGCTCCCCTCGGCTCCCCTGGGGGACAGGGCGGGTGAGCGGGCGGGGAGCCAGCCCCAGGAAGGCCGCCCATCGGCACCCCTCCCACAGCACGCCTGACCCACTAGCCCCCCCCCCCCCCGCCCCCCGGGCCGGGCCTTACACTCCCATCGCTGCATGGCTTCAGATCCTTCCAGAAGGTCTGCATCTGGGTCAGGTCCACCTTGTTGAGGGGGATGGACACCTCCCCAATGGGGTCGTTGCGGCTGAAGCGGTCGTAGTCCAAGACCTGGAGGTAGAGGACCCTCTGCACCACCTTCTCGTAGGGGAAACCTGGGGACAGACAGCGCAGTGAGGCCGGGCCTGGCCGAGGGCGTGGGCAGGGCGGCTCCTGTGCAGGGGTCCTGCCTCTTCTGGCCCCAGACCACCTGCGCCCCCGCCCCCCCACACCTGCATCCGACCCTCCCGAAGCCACAGTGAGAACTGTCATTACTCATCGGTTCCCAGTGACAATTCTCCAAGGCAGATGCTCTCGGCCTTTTTTTTAAAAATATATTTTCATTGATTTCAGAGAGGAAGGGAGAGGGAGGGAGAGATAGAAACATCAATGATGGGGGAGAATCATGGATCGGCTGCTTCTTGCACGCCCCACACTGGGGATCAAGCCCACAACCTGGGCACGTGCCCTGACCAGGAATCAAACTGTGACCTCCTGGTTCATGGGTTGAGGCTCAACCACTGAGCCACACCAACCATGCTCTCTTGTCCTTCTTACAGATGAGGAGACTGAGGCTCAGATGGCTTCCATCACTGGCCCCCTGTCCCACGGCTAATGCGGAGCAGCACTGCGACCATTCAAGTCCCTGTACCTCCTTCTCATCTGAGCCCGGGCACCTCTTGCCTGGACAGTCTCAAGAGCCTCCACACCGCCCTGCCCTGCCTGCTTGCCCCTGCAGTCCGCTCTCCAGGGAGGCCAGAGTGAGCTTTCAAAAATAGAAACCGCATCATAACACTCTGCCTCAAGCCTCTCAGAGGCTCCCAGGGCACTTAGAATGAAAGCCGCGCCTGCCCTGGCTCCAAACCCTCCTGCCACCTGGCCTGCTGTCCTCTCCCTCCAGGCTCGTGCCCACTCTCCGCTCAATGCCGCCCGCCTCCATCCCCCCTCCTGCCTGGCGGCCCTCCACGCCCCCTGCTTTCTTTCCTGACATCCCCGATGGGGTCGGGTCCCCGGTTTACACTCCAGCACTTTCCTTTCGCCACGATAGAGATCTGTCTGTGTCCTCAAGTCTGGCTCTCTCACTAGGAAGGCCTCTCTGTCCTCAGCCCCCGGGCCCAGCATCTGACTGTTTCTGGCACGTAGCGGGCACTCGATACATATTTGTTAAGCGAATCAATCGCTGAACAAGTGCGTAAGTGCCGGTGGAATGGCCCGGCGGAGCAGGAGTGTGCCGGGTGCAGTGGGAGCTGAGGCCCGAGGGGGGCGGGGGAGGAGCTGGATGGATGGAGAAGGTGCTGGGGAGCCAGGGGCAGGCCTGAAGCTGGAGTCACTGGGAGGCTTCGCTGGAGGAGGGGCCGGCCTGCGAGGTGCAGGGGGCGCAGACCAGCCTGGAGGCCTGAGGGGATCGGATCTGGATCCAGGGTATGAACTGGAAGGAGTGAGGACACAACAGCTTCGCCGGACCGATGGAGAAGGAAGGGCTCTGGAGGGCCCCGGCACCTTCAGCCCCGGACTCCAGACGCACAGAGAAGCCCCTGACGAGAGGGAGCAGGTGCAGCAGAGGACGAAACCCTCTGTTCTGAACCCCCGGCTTCTCCGTGCCTCCAGGGCCCCTCCTGCTGAGGGGCCTGTACCTGTCTGCTCCTCTCGGGCACCTCGGGGCCTTGCCTAGGTGACCTGGGCATTTCCTCAGGTGAAACGCATGACGAGGGATCTGGCAATGTTGGAGGCTCCAAGAGGCCCTTGCACCTGCGTTAGCTCCCGTCAACACCACAGGAGGCAGGCCGCTGTGTGCAAACTCCTATTCACCCATCACAACCCCTCTCGAGTGGCCTTTCTTCTGGGAAATGCCCTTCACCACCACCAAGGGGTGCTCATACCGGGTTCCTGCAGCTCCTGTCAGCAGCGCACAGCTTAGTTATTACATGCCTATGTCCTCCATTAGACCAGGGTGCCTCGAGGGCCACAGTTCAGCTCTGCACCCCCCTCTCGCCCCGACACAGGAAAATGTTGGCTCAGAGTTAATGCTCGATAAATATTTGCAGCAGGGACCGGCGGATTGGGGCTCTGCCCATAAACGTCGCCCCACTAACTGGCTCCATACACCTCCAGATGGCTGAGCCTCTTGCTGGCTGTACCATCTCTACACTGACCCCCACGCTGAAACACAGGGGCACCCGTGCGCTCCCCATCAATGACTTGCTTAGGGGTGAGCTGGCTGCCACCTCGCAGAAGAGTGGGGTGCCAGATGGCTGGGGCGCCAGGTGGCAGAGTCCCTGGGGTGCACTTGGGAGGTTCTGAGAGCCAGGGAACCCGGGTTTGTTCTCACTGGTTGAGCAGGGCTGTGGGGAGAGGGCTATGGCTTCTCTCAGTCAGCCGGGCACCCAAAGGGCCTGGGGCAGGAATCACGCCCTGATCCCACACCGGCTTCCTGGTTACTGTGAATCCTCGGGATAAGAGCAAAAGAGGGGCCGGCAGGAGACAGGAAGGGCATTCGCCCCAAATGCTTCTACAATCTGCTGATTTCCTGATTGCAAACCAAGGCACAGAGAGGCTCAGGGACTTGCCCAGGTCACACAGCTAGTAAGTGGCAGAGCTGGGATTCAAACCCAGGAAGCCGGGGCCATCACCTGTGCTCTTCACCACCAGACTATGCCCGCGCCAGCCGCTCCAGCCCTGCACCCTGTGGGCGCTTCCCTTCCTGCCTGCCCTCCTCGGCGCGTTCTGTGTTTGAGCGGAAGACCCAGCTTTCCTCCTCAGCCTCTGGCCATGAGGCCGGCCCCACTCGGCGCTACAGCCTAATCCCAGCGAGACGCACATGCAGCCGGTTAGCTGGGCAAGACACGTGCTGCGGGTACATGTGCAAGCGCGTGCAAGCATGCTCCTGGGTGCGTATCCGAACATGCGCATGTGTGCCCGTGGCCACGTGTGTACAGGTGTGGGGCGACTGGGGGGGGGGGGGCGGCTCCAGCCTCACCTTCAAAGAGGAAGGTCTCGTTCCAGTGGGGGTTCAGGTTCTTCCTCTTCACCTTGGTCTCCAGCTTGTGCTTCTTGTCCGGCAGCAGGTAGATCTTGACGAAGGGGTCGCTGGTGCCGCTGAAGTCCTTGGCCGGCAGCTCCTGGGCCTTCATGATCTTCACGGTGAGCGTGGACTCCTGGAAGTTGTAGCCGACGCTGAACTGGATGCGGCCCAGGTTCTCTCGGCTGCAGCCCTCGTGGGCCTCGTCCTCCTCAGAGCCTGGGGAGAGCTGGCGGGGAGAGGCCGGCGGGGTTGGGAGGGTTCTGCTTCCCGGAGCCCCCACTGCAGCCCAGCCCCGTTAGGAGGCCTCTCGCGCCCCAAACCGGGCCAGAGCTGGGAGCTGCTCTGTCCCTCTGGTCACCATGGGGCTTGGGAGGCGCCCACCTCCACACCCAGGTGAAGAGTCAGACAGGGCGGGAGCCTTGCGCGGGCTCACAGGGGGAGCGAGAGAGGGCGCAGCCGCTCGGCTCCCGTCTCCTGAACCCCAGGGCAGTGCGCGCCCCACTTCCCAGCCTCACCTGGATGTCCGCTGCCCTCCCTGCTCCACCCCAGGCTGCCCCGGCCTCCCCTGGGGCCCTGAGCTCCCTCGGCCAGCTTCCCACCCCACAGCCCTGCGGGCTCTTGTGTTTTGTGAAACCACCACCAGCAGAGGAGGGGACTGTGCACCCCTGTGACCTTTCCTTGGACAGTGACTGGGGTTCTGAGGATGGTGTGGTTTACAAAAGGAGAGGTGAGTTTGGGGAGCCTGATGTGACGGGGTTGGGGGGCCCAGGGGCCGGGGTGGGCAGCAGAGTTGTTTAAAAGGAGCCTCAGATGCCAGTACGCACACCAGGCGAGGGCCACTGGGAGGGAAGACTACGCCGATTCAGTCCCCACCCCTCGGGGGGGGGCACTTGGGCCGACCCAGCAACGGACAGACGGACAGGTGCACGGAGGGCGGCGCGGGGTCCCATTCCCAGGCCGACACCGAAATAGGAAGGGACTGGGGGGAGGGCCTCCCAGCCAAGTCTTCTCAGCTGTGGCTGCTCATTGGGAATATCTGGGGAGGTCTGAGAATACTGCCCACTCCGGCCTCCTGGGTCCCAGCCCAGACCGCTCCCCAAGCCCAGGCCTCCCGCACAAACAGCTCCTCGGGTGAGGGATGAGCCAGGGGCAGCCCAGATGAAACTGCCGAGCCCCGTTTTCTCTCCCCACTTGCCCCACGGAGCCTTCTCTGCGGCCCCTCTTCCCTCCTGGAGGGTGGCCCCAAGCTCTGAGACCCTCAGTAATATCGGTGGTAAGAATACGGGGAGGGTGCACCTACCATGACAGGAGACTCTTACGTCACCTTCTTACCGATTCCCGACAACGCGGGCCAGGCCGTGATCACCACTCGAGCTGAGGAGACCGGCTCAGAGAGGTTAAGTCACACGCCCAAGATCGCACAGCAGCACGAACCCGCTCTGCCTCTGAGGCCCACCCTTTCCACCAAAGCAGGTCCCTGTCCTAGGGCAAGGCGGAGCCTTCCCCCCAAGCCAGAGAGGACTGGCCGGCCCAGGTGAGATGCATCCCAGTCCCAGGAAATAGCAGCTGCCGCGCGCCTGGCCGGGCCCTGCGCCGGGTGCCTGGCCTCATTCTCTCCGCAGCATCCGGAGGGGGCGGCGCGGCAGCGTTCCAGTTTGGTCTGGGGCCCAGGCAGGTCACTACCTGGCCTCGAGCCGCCGAGTGGTGAGTGGAAGCTCAAACCCGGGTCGGTGCCGACCACACCCTGGTCCCGCCTGGAGCTGGACGGGGCGGAGCTGCCTCCCTGCTCTTCCTCCCAGCGGGAGGGCTCTCCAGGCGACCCTGCCAGCCCCAGCCCAGGCCCCCGCGAGTGCGGCTCCCTACCCAGGTGCGGTCCTCCCCTGGTTCTCCCCCCCTCTCCTCACACCAGCCCACTCCCTTTGAACCTCAGTTTCGGCATCTGCAGAATGGGACCGTGAGACCTAGCTCGCGGGGTTCCTGGGAGGGTTAAATGGTTCAGGTCCCCTCCATGGTCCTGCTCTGCAGTCTGGCCCCTGGCCCTGCTGCTCTGGGGCCTACAAAGACCTCTTGCCCCCTCCCCTTCCTCCAAAAGTTGGGGTGGAGTCAAGGTGACTGGAGTCCAGATGACCCCGCCCACCTGAGGCCCCTCTGGTCACTTGGCTCTTGGCTCCCAAACAAGGTGGCCTGGGGGGAGGGGCCAGTGGGCGTCACCATGGATGCTGGCAGTGCTGTGTGCTTGCTCCCAGCCTTTCAGAACCAGAGCCTGGAGCCCTAATTAACCAGCTGGGACAGCTCCAGGAGCCGTTTCCATGGCAACCAAGCAGGCCACCCCCACCACGCCCCCAGGGAGGTGCTGCCGGAGCCCCTGCTCCAGCAGAAGCATCAGAAAGCATCTGGACTCTGGCGGAGTAGCTCAGCTGGTTAGAGCATCGTCCTGATACCCCAAGACTGTGGGTTCAATCCCTGGTCAGGGTACAGATAAGAATCGACCACGCAGCCGCCGTGGCTCAGTGGCTGAGCATCAACCTATGAACCAGGAGGTCACGGTTCGATTCCCGGTCAGGGCACGCATCCAGGTTTCGGGCTCGATCCCCAGTGTGGGGTGTGCAGGAGGCAGCCAATCAATGATCGATGTTTCCATCTTTCTCTCCCTCTCCCTTCCTCTCTGAAATCAATAAAAAGAAAATATTTCTTAAAAGAATCAACCAATGAATGGATACATGAGTGGAACCACAAATCGATGTCTCTCTCTCTCTCTTCCTCTCGCAAATCAATCAGTCCATAAATTGTTAAAAGCAGCACGTGGGCAGTGCCGGGGCAGAGAGACTCAGGTGGGGGTGTGGCCCAGCCTCCTCTCCGACTCTTCCGCTGGCCAAACCGTGGGTGCCCAGGCCTTCTCCTGACCCCCAGTTTCAGACAGCTTGGGCCGGGGGCTCAGACAGCAGCTTACTTCTGCCCTGCGCACCTTCATCTGCACGGCTGACGCTAATAACCTGCCTGTGGCCTGGGGCTGGGCAAGTAGGCCTGCCGGCCACCCAGAGGGTCCGCGGGGCCCGCGAGAGGGCAGAGGGCTGCACTGCCTTCCTCTGCCGGGCCGTGCGCCCTCCCTGGGAGCAGCATTGCCGGTGGGCTGGCTGGGAAAGGCCGTCCCTTCTGGGAACCGGGCTACCGGGAAGCTGGAGCCGATTAAGAGCCTGTGCAGGGAGCAGGCCTGTCCAGAGGAAGGCCTGTCCATCCGCGTGAGTCGGGAGGGCAGCAGGGCAGTGGAGAGCCAGGCTCACAAGGGCCTGGAGGGCGGGGCAAAGGGGGAGGTGAGGAGGCCCGAGGGAGACCAGGTCTAGAGCAGGGAGATCGGACACTCTAGTCTGCACCCCAGAGAAATGTGGATGCGTAGGCTCACCGCAGGCCTGCCGACTGGGACCCTGCGTTTTTGTTGTTAATCTTCACCCAGAGGTATTTTTTTCCATTCATTTTTAGAGAGAGTGGAAGGCAGGGAGGGAGGTGGCGGGGGGGGGGAGAGAAACATTGATGTGAGGAGACACATCAATTGGTTGCCTCCTGCATGCGCCCCGATTGGGGCTGGGAATCGAACCGGCACCCCAGGTATGTGCCCTTGACCGGAATTGAACCCACGACCCTTTCAGTGAGCAGGCCAATGCTCTATCCACTGAGCCACACAGGCCAGGGTGGCTGGGGAATCTGCATTTTAACAAGATCCCTGGGCTGGGCTACAGTGGGGATGGATGGTTAGAACCGGCCAGAACCCCAAATGGCAAAGGGTTCTGGGGGCTCTGGGGCCCTCAGGGAGGGCGGGGGCTTTGGTGCCAAGGCCGTGGGCAGGGAACTCTGAGTTGCCCGATGTCAGCACTGGCCAGGGCCTGGGAGCCCACCCAGCCCCTTCCTTCTCGCTATGGGGGAGGTGGAGGGGGACCTTGTCCAAGGAGGGGAAGTGACGTGTCCCAGGTCATGTCCAGTAGGAACCCCACTGGCCCTGGGTCTCCCCCCTCCCCCAGCCTTCCTGGCGCATCTGAGCTGCCACAGCTCCCACTGACTCCTGCCTTTGGAAAGCAGAGGGGCAAATAGCTGTGTCCCACGGATGCTGCCACCAGGGGGTGCCAGGTGAAGCCACAGCCTCTGCCTTGGTGAAAAAAAGCAGCACCCCAGAAGCACAGGCTGCGACCCCGGTGGGCGGGTGCAGACAGGAGAACCAGCACAGCTGTCCCCTCCTAGGGATCAGGACCAGGGCTGTGCCTGGGCTCTGGCTCTCTGGACCTCAGTGGGCCCCGCAGCGGTGGGGCTGGGAGATCCCGGGGAGGGGGATCTGAGACCTGCTCCACTGGGAGGGAAGGGCGCTCTGCTCACTGGGCTGCCGCTCAGGGGAAGGGCACCTTCTGCCCACGTCCTCTGTCCACTCGCCTTCCCTCCAGGGCCCTGAAAACCTCCCACACGAGTAGCTTTCCTTAGGCCCCTGTTCAGTCCAGAGAGAGACGGGGGGACGAGGGGCCTTCATATTCTCACTTGACAGATGGGGAAACTGAGGCACGAGAGGCCGCTGTGATGAAAGAGCTGGTGACCACGCTGGGTCCCCTGCCTGCGTGGACAGCTCCCACGCGGCCACCCACCTCCGCACGCGCCCCTCCCCTGCCCGTCCGCGCCCTCTCACCATGAGCATCTCGCTGGTGAGGGAGTTGACGAGGTCCGAGACGGAGGAGCGCGGCTCGGTCCGGCGGTCAGACTCATCGTGCGGCGTCTGGCTGGGCACTGGGGTTGTGTTCACCGCCTTCCCTCCTGCAGGCAACCTGGGGGCCGGGGGGGTCCGAGTGAGCGAGCCTGGCGGGGGCGGGCGGGGCTGGGCACCATGGGCCGCAGGCCCGCTCCCAGCCCCCGGCAGCGCCGCCTGCAGGCCAGCAGAAAGTGTGTTCTTGTCCACGGGAGGCCTGCTCCCGCCCCGCCCGCCCCAGTGTGAGCTGCCTGGACTGTACCTGTTCCCCAGAAATCCCCCAACCTCCATCCTGCCTGCCTGCGGCCTCTGAGCCTGCCTCCCTCCCCAGGGCCGCCTCCCTGCTGCCCCAGCCTGGGCGGGAGCCTGGGGGCGGGGGCGGGGGCGGGGGCTCGGGTGGTGAACGCTCTGTTCGTCGCTCTCTGCATCATTACCCTCTGCAAGCACCCAGGGTGCCTCTCCCCCGGACGCCCCACCTGTGTTGGCCCAGGCTCAGCGAGAACACAGGAGCCCTTCGGACGCCAGACCGACCGGGTGAGGTCAGGCCCCCTGTCCTCGCAGCTCTGCCCAGCGGAACTGTCTATGCCGACCCGTGTTCCGTGTCCCCGCTGTCCCTGTGTGGCCGCTGAGCGTGTGAGAAGTGGCCAGTATGGCTGAGAGCTGGAAACCCGTGGGACTGAAACCCACTGAGATGTAAAGAGCCGCCTAGTGGACAGGGCAAGTGCACCTTCGGGAAGGCTCCCCCAGCGTCAGAGAAAGTTGGGGTACCACCAAGAAGCCCCGGATCTGAGCGTCCCACGAGAGGCCCTGTCTGCACCCTGCCTCCATGCTGTTTCCAGAGAGCCAGGCTCTCCTGCCGGCAGCTGGGGGGGAGGCCAGTGGGGGCTCTGGACTGGGGGGGGGGGGCTACAGGCCCCCAGGGACCAGCTGGAGCCTCCCACGAGGAGGAGGGGGGCAGCAGCATGGAGATGGGGAGACGGCAGCGTGGGGCTCGGGATAGGCTACGGTAGAACAGTTGTGAGACCAGAGCCAGACGTGGAGACATAAGCCACGGCCCTGGGTGTGGCCCAGCCACCAGCACACAGTTGGCCACGACAGGCACAGAGGCATGCACGGAGTATGCAGGTCCTGGAGGGGCACCAGGGCCCGGGAGCAGGGTGTGCACGTACGTGTACACACACACACACACACACACACACACACACGTAAGCCCAGAAGACGCCCAGGGGACCAGGGAGGGAATGGCACAGGCGACAGGCAGGCCGACCAGAGCAGCGCGATGACACACAGGGAGGCGCATACCGGGACCCAGAGAGGAAACACACGTGGGGAGACCCAGCTGCCGCGGTGTGCTGGGGAGCTGGGCCGCATGGCAGCGGAGGGGGCAGGGAGGAGTCGGATGCACAAGGCACCTGCCGTGGAGGCGTGGCCTCCCCTGGACCACGCCCAACACCCCACCCGACCCGGGACACGAGGGCGCCCCTCCCAGAGGCGCGGCCACAGCAGCGCGCGCACACACACACATGCGTGGATGCACACATGGACACACGGTGGACACGTGCTCACGCAGGCAGGCACGGGAGGAAGAGGAGGCTGAAACAGCTGGAGAGGTAAAGTCAGGTTAGAAATAGGAGAGGAGGGGCGCGGAGGCTGACGCTGGAGGTATGAGAGTCGGTTACTGGGGCCGCCTGGGAAGAGATGGTCAGCGCCACTGAAGCTGTCGGAGGTGACGGGACAGAGAAAGTGCGCAGAGAGGCGGGGGAGGCGGAGGGGCCCCTCGCGGCCCCGGGGCATCCCTGTGAGGAGCAGATGGGAGGAAGGAGGCAGGAGAGAGAGGCCAAGAAAGGTTAGTTGGAGACGCGTGAAGGCTGCAGGGTGCACGGGGGACGAGGAGGAGCGAGGCGGCCGAGAGGAGAGGCAGAGAGGAGGCGGGGGGACACACCGTGACAGGAGAGACATGGTGGCTTTGGGCAAGGACAGCGATGGGGTGGTCAGGCCCTGGCCCGGGCCCCACGCGGGCGGGGGTGGGGCCATGGTGGAAACCATCTGGATCCCGAGAAGCGGTGGTGAAGGGATGGATGAGCGGATGAGGCGGGGTGGGTGCGGGGCCGATGGGTGAAGACGGAATGCAGGGCGTGGGAGCCCGGGCCTCCCCCCGCCCTCCCGGGCCCAAGAGCGTTCGGCGGTTCTTGGGGGCCATGGCCTGGAGGCCCAGGGGCCGGGAGAGCCTGGATGGGGGCTTCCCAGGCCCCAAGAATCCTGGAAGCAGGGGCGGGGACCAACCCTCCCGTCTTCGAGTTCTTTGCTAGGTGCACCCCCATCTCTCTTGCTGTTCCCCCTTTCTGCCCGGAACTGGTGCTCACAGACCCTGGGCTGAACATCCTCCCCAAATGTCCTCCCCAACAGCAGCCAAGGGGCTCCCACCCCTCACCCCGAGACTGGGTGGGAAAGGGGGGGCTGGGCCTGGAGGCGGGAGCTGAAGAGGAAGGGACAGTTGACCGAAGCCTTCCGTTGGGAGGCCCAAGGAGCAGGGGCCAGAGGGCGGAGCCCTAAGGGGCCTGGTGCCCCGCGGGTGAAGCAATGCCAAGCTGGGTGGGGAGTGCTGGGAAGGAAGTGCTGGATTCGGGGCGCCCTGCCCGCCCCCGCCCCCCAGGCCATGAGCCATGAGTGTCCCGGATGCGGTGGGTGGGGTGGCTGGGCGGGACTGGCATGGGTCCACCGGGAAAGTCGGGCTGGGTCTCGGCGAGGGCCTGGCCCCCACCTCCACCCCCACCTTTCCCAGGAAGGCAGGGGAGGGCTGATGTCATGATCAGAAGGGACAGGGTGTGAAGAGATGGACTGAGACCTGAGGGGCAAGGGGTAAAAATAGGCCAGGGGTGGAAATGGAGCTGGGAATTGACACGGGGGATGCGAAATCTCGTTTCCAGCCTGCATCGCTCCCTCACGCAGCACACCTTGCCGGGCCAGGCGCTCAGCAGGCTTCTGGGGGGCCCAGCCCCTCTCCCGTAGCCTCTCGCCCTCAGCATGGCCCTCCCCCCGGCCCAGCCTGGGAAGCCGGGACCCCTGGCGCCGGGCGAGTTGGAGGCGGCAGGACCTGATGCTCCCGTCCCCAGGCCTTGGGCTCCGGGTGTGACACCACCTGCATCCCCGAGTGAAAAAACGGACCCCGCTCTCCCCTCCCCTCTGTGGGGACGTCGCTTTGCCCACCACAGACATGCACTGTGGGCTCAGACCGGAAGACACGAGAGGGACAGGCTACGGTAGAACAGCTGTGAGACCAGAGCCAGACATGGAGACATAAGCCATGGCCCTGGGTGTGGCCTGGCCACCAGCACACAGGGCTGGTCCCCAGAAGCCACCGGAGGAGCAGCGAACCAGCTCTCTAACTCGGCCTGCCCTCCCCTCATCCCCGAGCAGCGTGGGACAGTCCCTTCCGTACCAGAGGGCCTCAGGGAGCAAGCAGGGGGTCCCTGCCCGCTGACGGGGTCTGCCCACTGCCCCAGCCGAGGGCCGGCTCCCTCGTTAAGCTCAGCATGTCCGAGCTGGAAGGGGCCACCCTGTCCAGTCCTTCATCTGACGGACAAGGACACGGGCCCAGGGGCGGAGACATGCCCCGGGCTGGACAGAGTGAGGGCTTTAGCCTGACCAGCGGGCCTGACCGAAGGGATGCGCCTCTCCCAGGAACACAGGTGTGTGGCCTGCCCAGCTCAAGGCCAGGTGACAGGAGGCAGCCACCAGGTGCAGGACTGCCCTGCCCTGTGATGCTGCCCGAGCCCTGGACCTCTCTGTACACCCCGCTTCCCGCCCAGAGCACCCCACCGAGGTGCTTCCCTGGGAGCTGGTGACGGTTACATGGCCAGCTCTCGGCTCAGCCTGTGTTGTGGCCACAGGGCCTGTCCCTGTCCCCACAGGGTCCCGGGGGCCAGCAGCTGCTCTCGCCCCCCCCCTCCCATTCCCTCCTCTTGGTATCTCAGGCTCAAGGGCTGCCTTTCTGGTCACCAGACCTCTCCCCTGCCCCTGCCTCTCCCCACCAGGGACTCCCATCAGCAGAGTAGCCGGCCACACCTCTGCAGCAGGGGGTTGGGGGGACCATCACTCCAGGAAAAAGGGAGGTTGAGGTGGCGGGGATGAGGGAGAACGGGCGGCGCCCCTTCCCTAACATCCCCCCCGCCCACCAACCCCCGGGGAAACGGGATTTCTGGGCCAGGGGAGATGAAAGATGAGGGGCAGCGGGGAGCAAGCGGGAGGATGGGCAGAAAGGCTGGCTTGCTCCGGGCGAGGGCGGGCATGCCCAGGGAGCAGGCTTGATCCAGAATGGTCCCAGGACGGCTGGCCGCACTGGCCTCAGACCCAGGGACACCCCCGGGGTGGCCACGTGTGAGGGCGCCGGCTGGGGAGGCAGGCCTCCGGCTCCAGCATCCGCTGAAGGCGCCGCCGCCAGGTCCAGCGGGTCCAGCGGCCGGGTGGCCGAGGCAGGCAGCCCTCTGCCTCCGCCTCCTCCTCTGCCGCCGCCCGAGCTCGTACCTCTTGTCCCCCTGAGCGTTCTGGTTCTGCTGGGTTCCTGGGTTTTGCAGGTCAGGGATATTGGCAAAGTCATCCTGTTCCGAAAGCCCTAAGACCAAGGATAGCACCACCATCCGGCCTTCCCTGCCCGGGTGGGCAGCCCACCAGCCGGGGACGGAGGAGGCCCCGCGGGCGGGGCAGGGCAGGGAGGGGAAGGAGAGAGAGACAGGGACAGAGACAAAAAGAGAGAAGAAAAAAGCGTAAGAATCTGGCCCTGCAGGAGAGAAACCAAACTTCAGCACTGTCAACAGTTGCAGAGCAGAGGGGGGTGGAGCGGGGGAGGAGGGGGCGGGATGGAGGGGAGGTGTCCGTGGCCTGAGACCCAGCTCACCAGGGGCCAGAGCAAGATTCTCTGGAGAAGAACGGGGAAGGGCATGTGCCTGGGGCTTCTTGAGGGGACCCTGGGGGAGGCTGAGGGGAGCGGAGCATGTCCAAGGCTAATTCACCGCCCGCTGAACCGAGGCCAGGGGCTCTGGCTCTGACATCGGGCCCTGGGAGGAGAGGAGGGGCTCTGCGGCCACCTGCTCCGGCCTGTGCAGGCAGCTGTGGCTCCCAGCGGGGAGGTTCTTAGAAAGTGTGCAAGCCCAGTGGGCCCGCACCCTGAGCCTATGGAAGCCCTGCACGAAGACATCTCCCGATCCTGGCCGGCCAGGCGTGCGTGATGCCCGGAGGCGTCCTGCCCGGAGGCCTGGACACGCAGCCCATCAGAGGGAAATGGAAGTCCCTCCGGCAAACGGTGTATGTGCCACGTGAGCCCTCTGTGTCCCCGGAGGTGACTGCCCAGCCGTTCCGTGGAGAAGCAGTCCAGATGGCACCACAAAGCAAAGACGGAGTCTGGGCAGCGCAGGAAGCTGGCAAGTCGGGAGAAGTCCAGGCAGGGAGCCTGTGCGAGCAGCGAGGAGACCACGGTGTGGAGGAGGCCGCATGGTCCAGGCAGAGCAGCGAGAACAGACGAGGAGGCAGCGGGGACCTCCTGGAGTGGCTGTGGGCGGCCGCGTGGGGCCGGGGGCCAAGGGGTCCGTGCCGAGTGGGGAGCATTCCCAGAGCACCACTGGGCACCCGCAGGGCCGCCCGCATTTCTCAGGGACCTCAGCAGCGTCGGCGTTCACAGCGTTTCCTGGGTGCCGCGTGGAGCTCCTCCAGCGTCCGGTCTCTCCTCCAGCAGGAGAGGGGTGCGCAGATGGGGCGGGCACAGAAACATCTCCAGGAGGTCCAGGGGAAGACGGTAAGCTGGCGGCGCGTTCCATGTTCCGGGGGGAGGCCAATGCTGGGCCCCGTAGGGCAGGGGGGTGACAGGCAGCTGGCTATGGCTCCGTCCCAGCGAGTCTGCCAACAAGGGAACTGTGGCGGGTGCGCTAGGCCTCTGAGGCCGGGCGGGCGGGCGGGCGCAGAGGTCTTGGACGTGGGAGCCTAGGGAGGGAGGGAGGTAGGTGGTCCCACGGCCTTCTCTTTGTCCTGCGTACGGTCATTCCCGGCTGACACTCACACTGGCCTCTGCCTTTGGGGACAGGACTAGTCCTCACTCCCTCCGGCCCCTGCCCACCGGCACTATCTTGGAGTTGGTAAAATTCCATTTGGCTGTTTGAGAGCCGGCTGAGCTGGGGGGGAAGGCGAACCAGTGAAAACAACACATTGTTCCCTGGTTAATGCATTTTTCAGATACTCCTTCGGCTCCTCTTGAACACCAAACGGCTTCTCTGCATAGATTCCCAATTTGTCATTCTCTCCAGGTTGCAGGCCAGGCTGCCAGGGCGAGCATGGGGGCCAGGAAGGGGAAGTTGGGGGGGGGGAGCTGGTGGTGGTGGGCGGCCACATCCATGGAGCAGGAGGGACGCCTCCCTCCCCGAGAGCGGGGTGGGTCTTGGGGGTGGCCCTGGCTAGCCCTCACCCTGACCCTCTACCCCGGCCACCAGCGTTTGGGTGAATGAGAGGCCTCGGGAAACTGAACCATCAGGCAGGGGTCAGGGGTCGAGAAACTACAGTGGTGCCCTATGTTTTTAGAGCCCACAAGCCACGAACAGTTTGTACATTTAAAAACGCGATCAAGCCCGGCCGGTGTGGTTCAGTGGTTGAGCGTCTACCTATGAACCAGGAGGTCAAGGTTTGATTCCTGGTCAGGGCACAGGCCCGGGTTGCGGGCTTGATCCCTGGTCGAGGGCCTGCAGGAGGCGGCTGATCTGTGATTCTCTCTCATCATTGATGTTTCTCTCTCCCTCTCCCTCTCCCTTTCTCTCTGAAATCAATAAAGATGTATTTTTTAAAAACTGTGATCAAGACTCCATGTGTCCACAAAGCCTGAACCACTATGACGGCCCTCACACAGCTGGCCGGCCCTCGGCGGGGGCTGCGCGTGGAACCGCGCGGTCAGGAGGAGAGCGGCAGGCCCGGCTGGCTCTCGGTGCTTCCCCGTCGGCAGAACCGATTCCCTGGACGCTCCGCATCCTCGCCGGCGCCCCAGCACCTGTCTCCATGCAAACTGTAACCTGGAGACCAGCAGGTTCTGCTGGGCATCTTCTCATGCGGGAGTCCAGCGGGGTCCCAGGGCCCCGGGTCGGGGGGAGCCCCATTAGATGCCCTGCCCGGCGTTGCCAAGTAGAGTCCCAGGTAGCATGTTCCGCCAGGTGGGGCCCGGGCCCCTGGCAGGAGAGTGGGAAGCTGGCTGGCGCAGCTGCTCCTGGTGGGTGTCTCTGCCAGAGGCAGCACTCCGTCTGCCCTGGAAATGCGGGCCGGGCCGGGGTCCAGCTGGAGGGGCTGCCCCAGGGGTCCCACCACGTGCCGGGGAGCTGGGCCTGCCCCTTGCTCCTCCCCCTCTTCTCCCAGGCTCGGTGTGCCTGCCGCCTGCTGGGGAAAAGTGCTCCCGGGAGAGACCGGGTGAGGGAATACCCCAGAGCCTGTAAGGAAGGTGATGTTAGGCCCCGGAGGTGGCGATGGCAGGGACGGACGCCCAGACCTGCCCTGGGCTCCGAGGGAGACGGGTGCCCAGAGGGATGGGGGAGAGGGTGCCCTGGGTCGGGGGCCCAACCAGTGGGGTGGGGCAGGGGGCAGGGGCTGGGGGACGGCTGAGGTTAAATGGTGTGTTGTTACTTCTCAGATCTGTGACGCGAGACAAGGCTTTGCTTTCAGAAACAACATTCTCTAAAGCTTCGGGAGGAGCATCTCACGTTGTCCTCAGGGGAGGGGTTACTGTGGGAGCCGGGCGGGCGGGAGCTGGAGGGCAGGTGGCCGGGAAGGTCGCAGAGGCAGAGGACAGGACCAGGCAGGGACAGGGGAAGCGAGGGGAGGGAGGAGGTGCGGGAAGGAAGGGGAGCAGAGTCGAGTTACAGGGCAGAGAAGTACCTGTAGGGGAAGAGGTAGGGCCTGGGCGAGGGGTGGAAGGAGGCCAGGCTGGGGAGCAGGGAGGAAAGAGGTCAGAGGAGGAGAGGGGGAGTCTGGCAGGAAGGCCACGAGCGGCCCCCAGGACTAGCCTGGAGGAGGAGACCGATCTGGGGACCTCAGCAGCTTCTCTAGTGTCTCCACTGAGTTTTAGGGGGGACCTTCTGAGCCCTGAGACACCAGGGTCCTCAGAGGGGCGGCTCAGCTATGCACCCTTCCATGGGGGGCTGCGGGCGTGCGCAGGAGCTACAGGAGACTGGAGGGGTGTCCGAGCCTGCTTGGCACCTGCCCTGGAGATGTGGGGGGAAGAGGCTGGGGTGGGGAAGTGGGGGCCGCCGGCTCAGGGGGGGGACTTACAGAAAGGATTTCATGTCCAAGCCTCGGGTTCGAATCTGCCCCACCACGTGGTCCCAGCTGCCCGGGTTGGAGCGGCTGCGGCCAGCGGCCGCCCGGTACTTGGAGCCGGCCGAGGCGCCCTGCCGCGCCTGGCCCCGGCCAGAGGCCCGGGGGGTGGGGCCGGGCACCGAGGCCGCGTGGGCCTGCAGCTGGCCCAGGCTCTGGCTGGTGGTGGGCTGGCTGGGCTGCCGGCCCCGTTGGTGCTGGCTCAGCGGCTGCTGCAGGCTCTGCTGCCGCATCAGGGTGCGGGGTCGCTGGCATTTCGGCTCTCCCGTGGAGCTGGGGATAGACTCAAGGGTAGTGGTCGTGGACAGGGTGGAGTCCTCGAAACTTGGGGTGGGTGGAGGAGAGGAGAGAAAGGAGAAGCAGGTGAAGGGATCACCGTGGAGAAGAAAGAAGCCCAGAGCCAGGGCCAGGAGGCCCGGGTGCAGGGCGCGCGCTGCCGGACCTCGCCAGGCCTCCATCGCAGTCCTCGCCGCTGCTGTCGCCACCACCTCCCCCAGGAGGCCGCCACGACCCAGCCCACCCTGAGGGCCCCGTGGGCCCCGCCCCGCCCGCCCCCTGGCCTTGGCTCAGCTTAGTTCCCAGGTACCTCCTGTCTGAGCAGACCTCTTGGCTGGTCTGCGTGGCCACGGAAGCGTCAGAGGCTGCTGCGTGGTGAAGGCGGGTCCCCAAGGCCCCGTGGCTGCCTGTCATGTTGGGACGGGAGGGGGTGGCTGGACCTCCTGCTGCCCACTCCTGCCGTCTCGCTGGGGACCCCAGGAGATGCTGCCCTGTGCCCTAAGCACTCCTGGCCGTGGAGACACGCGGAATCCAGGCCAGTGCAGAGCTGGCCTGGTGGTGCAGGGCCGGGGAGGGCCAGTCTGTGCTTTGTCCATGGAGGCAGGGGTGTCCACGGGCCCCCAGACCTCTGCGCCGTGGCCAGGGCTACCTCAGGGTTCAGGCTGTGGCCCATCTTCGCCCTCCTTCCTGGGTTCCCGTTTCTGAGGGCAAGTGTTCCCTCTTGGTCTCCTGGGCAATGATTCCTCATCAGAGGAGGGGACCCAGCAAAGGAGCAGAGGAGGTGGGAGCCCCAGGAACCACCTGTCTGGCCACTTGGCATGTTTCTGATGGAAAACAGCATGGCTGCCCTGTCCTGTGTGCATCTGAAAGAGGGCACCGCACGGGCCCACCAGCACCTCAGAAAAACACTGGGACTGGGGGTGGCGGGGACAAGGACAGACCGGAGGCAGGACACGGCCGATCAGAGGCAGGGTGAGGTCAGAGACCCGGGTCCAAACCCCCTCTCTGCCATTTCGGAACTTTGGGACTTTGGAAAGGTGAGTCCACCTCGCAGTTTCTCCATCTGTAAAATGGGAGCGAGAAGTAGTCCGAGCTGCCTCTGTCACAGGGTTGCCGTGAGGACCTGCTGAGGCCAGACTCAGGGATGCGCGGTCCAGGCCACGCTCCCGGGCCAGCGGTAGCTGCCCAGGTCTCAGGAGACGGAGGGAGAAGGCGTGAGAGAGCCCTGGCCTCCCGGGCGCCCTGCTGCTGTGCCCCTGCTGGAGATTCCAGCGCATCCGACAGGCAGGGCCGGAGCCCGAGGCCTCAACCTCCCCCTCTGCCCCTTCCCTCCGACTCCCAACCCCTGGGCTAGGAGAGCGGTTGGCAAGAGATGGGCTCATGGCCCTGGTTTCTGTAAACAAAGTTTTACTGGAAACGGCCGCTGTCATTAATTTACAGCCTCTCGGTTTTACTGCGCTTTGCTTTGCGTACTTTGCAGACACTGTGTTTTTTTTTTTTTTTTACAAACGGCAGGTTTGTGACAACTCTGGATTGAGCCAGTCTATCAGCGCCATTTGTTAAGCAACAAAGTATTTCTCAATTAAGGCCTGGACACTCCTTGCAGACGTAATGCTATTGCACACTTAGACGCGGCAGAGTGCAAATGTGGCTTCTGTACCCACCGGGAGCTGCCGCACAAGGCGTGGGACTCGCTTTACTGCGACATTCGCTCTATTGCGAGAATGTCTAGCAGGGAGCGCTCATCTCCAAGGTTTGCTGCACATCGGCCTTTGGCTGCTTTGGGCCACGACGGCAGGGCTGAGTGGTTGTGGGAGAGACTGTAAAGCCAACTACTCCTCAGCTGGCCCTTTACAGGCAGCCATGCACCCTGAGCTGCTGGGGTGGGGTGGGGTGGGGTCGGGGGGACGGGGGCCCTTGGAGCCGCTTTCACCACTGCAGTCAGACCTCAGCTCTGCTCATGCCCTGAGCCTCCCTGGGAACCAAAGGACAACAGTTAGCCTGCCCCTGTGGGCTGAGAGAGAGAGAGAGAGAAAGAGAGAGAGAGAGAGAGAGAGAGAGAGAGAGAGAGAGAGAGGAAGAGAGAGAAAGAAAGAGAAAGAGAGAGGAAGAGAGAGAAAGAGAGAGAAAGAGAGAGAGAGGAGAGAAAAAGAGAGAGAGCAAAAAGCAAAACGCTGGGGTCCTAGGGAGGGCAGCCGCCTTGCCAGGCTCCGGCCTGGAGTTGGGGCCACCTCCAGGGGCAGGCCCAGGCCTGGCGGCCACGTAGGCCCGCAGCTCCCCGGGGGCAGGCAGAGGTGGGGGCCAGGGGGACGGCCCCTGGGTGGCCGCCGCCTCCTCCTTGCTGACCTCACTTTGGTTTCCTATCATATCCCAAACTAGTCTCGTCTACAACCTCAGTCACGGGAAACGAAAAGCGGTTCCCGGGGCCCGGAGCCCGGAGCCGGCAGGTGGCCTGGAGGCCTCAGCCAGCCTGGGGTCAGTGGCCGGAGCAGCCTGGGGAGGGCCGCGTTGGGCCTGCTTTCAGAGGGGGCAGGGTGGGGCTTCCTTCCGGACTCTCCCTCGGACTGTCAGGGGGCCTCGGCCAGCGTCCCCTCAGGCCAGAAAGCAGACGAGCTCTCAGCACCGGGGGCCTCCGTGCACCAACGGCAGGAATCACAGGCTTTGGGGGGAGAACCAGGAGGGCCCAGGAGCTGAGCAGGGCTCAGGGCTGCCGGCCTCCTGAGAGCGAGGCTGCCCCATCGGCCGGCCGGGAGCCAGGCAGTTCAAGGAGCTGATTGGAACCTATGTCCCAGCGGGTGAGGATGGTTCCAGGGACTGAGAGCCTGGGGCCACAGGAGGGTCTAAAAGCCAAGATGAGAACAAGGCTGCCCCCTAGTGGGGGAGCGGGGAGCGTGCTACCTGCTGAGAGTAGGGCCAGCCCTACAGCCATCGCCCAGGACCGGGACTGACCGTCTGATGAGGTCGGACCACCCTCGTCAGAAAAGAGGAGCCAGCTGGGGCTCGACAACCCAACCTCCAAGAACACAGCATCCCGCCAGCTGCCAACCCGCTGACCAAGCCGGGGACAGCCAGTGGGGATGGCTGAGATGAGGATGGCCTTGTGGGGCCTGCGAACAGGCGGTGTGATGATGTGAGCAAGACTGAGACAAGCCAATGGAGTCACCAGGTGGTCAGAATGGGCAGGGCTCAACCTCTGGGTCTAGAGCCATCTGCTGGCCGTAAGAGGGAAGGCCCGGTGAGTGGCAGATGAGTGGCATAAACACAGGCTGAGAGCCGGCCAGCTCCCCAAGGATGGGATGGTCCGATGGCTGAACAGCTACGGGCCTGCCGCCCATGGAGGGGTGACCTGGCTGCTGCTACGGGGCCGCCAATCAAAGAGGCTGGGGTGACCCGAGGACTGAAATGGAGCTGCTCTGGGGGCAGAAAATGAAATGGCCTGGTCACGGGCAAAGGGAGAGACTGACGGGGGCAGCAGCCAGAGGCTGAGAGGCGACACGGATGGCTGTTAGCTGTGCTGATGGCAAGGACGATGGGGGTGGCTCGTGAAGGGATGGGATGAGCCAGGGGCCGAGGACGGCCCCTCTGGGGGCAGCAGCGGGCATGCTAGGGGTCCCGCTGTCCACCCTGGCGGGGGCGGCCTGAGCACTGGGCTCTGGCGGCCACGGGGCCATCACTCACTTGGACAGGTTGAGCTTCCCTGCGGCCAGGTGGCTCTGCACCGTCCGCCAGCGGCCTCTCCCCGCCTTGCCACCGCTGCCCGGCTCGCTGGGGGCAGTGCCGCCGCTGCTCAAGGCGTCCTCTCCGGGTGGTGGCACCAGCGCCGGCGTCTCCCCCAGCCGGCCTTCCCGCTCCACCGCCAGCCCCGCTGCGGCGGCCACTTTGGCGCCGGACAGGAGGGTGCCACTGGAGGCAGCCAGGCCAGGGGGCGCCAGGGGTGGCGGTGGGGGAGAGAGGGCAGGACACACGTGGGGGTGGGGAGGTAGAAGAGGAGGAAAAACAATCACAGATAAAAGGAAAAAAGAGACAGTGAGAGAAGAGGAGAGAGACAGACGGACAAGAGACAGACAGAGAGAGAGAGAGAGAGAGAGAGACATCAGCACTGCGAGTGTGTTAACAGCGGAGCCTGCAGAGAGGAGAGAGGGGCCGGCGGGCGGGGGCTGGAGAGCAACGCACCACGACAGTGGAGGGGGCCCCTCCCCACCGCCTGGGGCAGGGGCGGTGGGGGTGGGGGAGGGCAGCCACCTCCAACTCTATCCCACAGGACAACGGAGGGTTAACGACGGAGGAAGAGCGGGCTGTCCAGGCCAGGAGGCCCCCAGGCAGGGAGAGAGAGAAAGCCGTGTTAGTCAGAGTTCATCACCACCACCACCATCACCGCCACCACCTCCACGACCACCACCGACCACCACCACCAGCAGCCAGGGCAGCAGCACACAGCGGGGAGGGAAGCAGAGCCACACCAGGGGGGAGGGACCCACACGGGCAACCCCATCCTGACTGCGAGGGGCGGGGCCGCGGGGACCAGCGTGGGGGCCGCGTGGCTGCTGGCTGCAGAGGGGGCTCTCCTGCCTGGCGGCCCTGGGGGTGGGGACAGGTGAGGGGCGGGCAGGCGAGGGGGGCAGGAGGGGTTGCTCGTCTCCATGGCCAGCCTGCCCATGGGCTGCAGGGGAGGGGGGTGGGGGAGGAGAGTGAAGGGCAGGGACCGGAGGGAGGAGGGCGTGCGCAGACTCGAGACTCAGGTACATATGATCAAACCAGGTAAAGTCACTCACTTGAGGGACAGTCGTGGGTCGCCATAAGGGGCGTAGGGTGAAATGTTTAGAATAAACTCCTTGGGAGGGTAGGAGCTCCATTTCTGCTGCACTGTGCTCTCATTGTTATTCCAAAAGTCTCTGTCTAGGTCGCTGGGGGGCAGAGAGAGAGGGGAGAAAACAGGGAGATACAAGAAGAAACAAGAACCGCCAGTCCTGGGGGCGGAGGGCCCGTCTGGGCACACAGAGGCAGGTGGGCCCGGGCCGGCTCCTGCGGGAGGAAGAGAGGCAGGCGGGCTCCCAGCCGGCGCCCCTGCACACGTGCACGCGCACACGCTCACAGGGGCACACACACGCGGGCGGGCGGGAGGAGCGGTGCAGAGGAGGCGCTGCAGGAGGGCGACTGGAGCCTGGCACCCTGGGGAGCTGGTGGGAGAGAGAAAGATGGTGAGAGAGCAGGGGAGAGGGGAGAGGGCCTGGGGAGAAGGCCGGGCGGGATGCAGGGGGAGTGGGAGGCGGAGGGGGTGCTGGTTTCTGGCTGGAAAGAGCTGAAATGCAGATCAGACCCTGCTGCCAACCTTCTCTGGCCTCAGTTTCCCCGCCTGTCCGTCACTGCTGCTGTGGCTGCTCAGCCGCCAGCTATCCCATGATGTGTGGAGGCCCCAGTCCTGGAACCCCACATCCTCCCCTCTCCACCTGCCTCCACTGAGCACTCCTGGGCCGGCTCAGCTCCCCCTCCCGTTGGCCCGGGGTCCCCCAGCCTCCTCTGCTCTCTCCCTCCACGGCAAACGCTGGGGTTCAGCCTTCCCAGGGGAGCATCTCCAGGCCTCGGGCCTTGCTGAGGGGACGGGGGCCTTCAGGTCCTCTGTACTGGGCCTGTGTGAAGGGGCAATGGGCAGCCTCTCCCTGTGGCCGGGCCCCTTTCCAAGGTGGCTGCGGGGTCTCCCTATGTCGGCGCCCCCCCGCCCCCCCTCTGGGATGCCTCCTATGGAAGCACAGAGAATGGGGGCCCTTCCGTGGGAGGCCGGCGGCAGAAGCCTCAGCTACCGGAAGGCTTGGCCCGGAAACCCCAGGAGCCAAGGACAAGTTGACCTTGACCTCAGTTCTCAACAAAGAGCAGACAGAGAGAAGCTGAGCGGCCACCACACGCCCCCTTGGGCCTCCCTGGTGGACAGCCTCTGTCTGTAGAGCACCTTGGAAAGGTCTCACCGGGACCCTGCGACCAGGGTCGAAGCCAAAACCCAGCGCCTTTAAGGTGCCAATAATAGTGTACAGTGTTCCCCAAACTTGGTCGGTCACGGAACCCTTGATTTGTGGCAAGCTGTTAGGAGTGCTCTGAGGAACAGTGTGGGGAGCGCTGCTAAAGGACGATGCCCCAGGACTTCTGACCAGCCCCCGCCCCCCCTTAAAGGAGGCCCCAGGCCACGGCAGATTGTGCAGCCCTGGGTCCCGCTTCCTGCCACTCCCCTGGCTCTGGGCCCTGGCCAGAGGGGAGGCCTAGGAACCCAGGGCACCTAGAAAGGAAGGGTGGCTTCCTTCCCCTGGGCAGAGGGTCTGACAATGCAGTAGGCGGGGCTGGGGCATGGGCTGCAGGAGGGGAACAGCCCACTGTCGCCCTCGCTTTGTCAGAGCCCTGAGAGGTGCTGGCCGAGCCTGCAGGGCCAGCTGCCCACCTGCTGCCCACCCATCCCCTTGTGTGGAATCCCCTCTGCCTCCGGCCTGTTCCAGGACTTCGGGCCCTGCCGCACCCCCCTGTCCAGGAGGTTATTGGTCACCTGGCAGAGACAGGCCCTCCCCGCCCCTACCCCCCCACCCCCAGAACACGGCTGCACACTCAGGGGCCGGCCTGCAGGCGGCATAGGCGCTGAGCTGGGGGGCTGGCCCGGTGCTCCCCCCCGCCCCCCACACTGTCCCCCTGCCTTCAGGAAGCCCTGAGCCGAGCTCTGCACCGCCCTTGAGACCTGCGGGCTCCGGCTTTGAAGACTGGAGAGTGTGCAACCGAACCAGCTTCAAAGGCTTCCCGCGCCTCCCCACCCCCAACCTGGCCGGGCCCACTCTCCACTAACCCGCCCCACAGACGCCCCCTCAGCTTCTATGAAGGCCCCACAGGGTCAGAGCTAGAGATGAAAGAGAGGAGGGGCAGGAGGGGCAGAGGGGGAGCCCTGAGGAGCAGGGGGAGGAAGAAGGGGAGGAGGAGAGAAAAGGAGGAAGACAGAGGAGGGAAGGGGGGGGATGAGACAGTGGGAAGGGGCTGAAGGGGAGGGGAGGGGGCAGGGCAGGCCGGGGGCAGCTTGCCCCTTAGCTGGCAGGCTGAGATGGCGGCGCCCTTGGCCCCACAGCCTCGGCTCGAGGAAGGGACCAGGCCATCGGCCAGAGGGCACAGAGCCCCCGGCCAGGTGGGGCAGAGGGGCATCTCCTGGTGTCCCCCAGGGGCCCTCCGCAGTGGGCTGGCCCAGGTGGTCCACAGTGGAAGGCTGACCTGCTTACTTGAAAGGCCTCTTAGAGCAAAATGGGGGGTCAGAGGCAGCAAGACATTCGCTGGGAATGGGGGGATGGGGCAGGGGAGCTTCCCCGTTACCAGCGTCCCCTGAGCAGCCCAGCGCTGGGCTGCACCCCTCCAGGTGACCCTGAGAACACTGACAGGGTTCGAGAAAAGAGTGGGGGGCTGGGCGGGGTTGGGCGTGGTGTGTGCGACGTGAAGGTGGATGGAGGAACCAGTAACCAGGCTGAGGAAGGACACAGTGCCAGGAGGGCAGCCAGAAATGGGGCTGGGGGCCTGGAACACGGTGAGGGTCTGGGGGGCACCGGCAGAGAAGGTGGGGCCTGGAGCCACCCCGAGGCACAGGGAGTGTGCGGGGGGAGCACGGCACAGGGTTGAGGGGGACGGATGTGTGTGGCAGATGCAGACGTAGGGAGGGTCAGGGGCTCCTCCCACCTGGGCTGCCTGCACCCCCCACCCCAACCCCAAGGCTGGACCTACTTGATGGCCTTCTTCTCACTGCGCCCACGTCCCGAGTCGGGCGTGCCCACCGTCTCCAAGGAGTTCTTGTAGCGCTTGCCCTACGGAGACAGCACCCGTCACTCCCGGGACCCAGGGCTGCACCCTCCCTGCCTCCACAGAACGGGCTCCCCCTGGGGTAGCGGGGTACTCCCCTGGGGTGGCGGGGTAGACTGGAGCCCAGCCTTGGCAACAAGGTCAGAGGTCAAGGGTGTCACAACTGTGGGGTGCCAGCTTCACCAGTACCTGCTCTTTGGCTGGCACTTCCTGGGCCTCAATGGGTCCCAAGACCTGCCCCACCCCCTTGACCTGCACCCCATCCCTGAGCCCAAGGCCGGGGCCTCTCCCGTCCTGTTGCTCTGGCCAGGCTCCCAGAAGCGCAGCTCCCTCTGCCACAGACAGATGGCTCTCGGGCCACATCCCCCTGGCTACGTCACACCGGCCACGTCACTGCCCCCAGATGGTGGGGGCGGCATCCTGCAGGGCAAGGTTGGCAGCAGCCAGTGACGTGAGCCGTGGGGGTGGGGAGAAGGCCCGTGCCCAGTCCTGCCCAGGCTGTGGCCCTCACTATCTAGGGGCTCCCTGGGGTCCTCGCGCCTGGGGATGGGAGGCGGGGCAGGGCCTGAACATGCTCCCTCGTAAGAAGGCAGCCCACTGACTCTCACTCGAGCCTGAGTCGGGGAGGGGCAGGATGGAATGGGGGGGCACCCCCCATCCCTGGCTGGAAGGAGGGCCGTGGCTGCAGCGGCAACTGGGCCTGCTGCCCGGAAGGTGAGCGCCATTCACCTTCTTGGTTTGGGTTTCTAAATTTAGTTCATGCGGAGCCTGGCACCATTAGCATTCCTGGCTGCCACCATGCGTCCTCAGTGCGCCCGGGGCCACAGGTCTAGGCCAGGCCGGGGCTGGTGTGGGTGGCGGGGGGATGGGGCCATGGAAGGGCTGGAGCTGCCCTCACAGACCATTCTCCCACCGGACACTTGCCTGCCCCTGCCCAGTGGACACACACACACACACACACACGTTTCTCCACGTGCAGTCGTGTGCACCGACACCACAGCCACAATAGTCAATTATTCCACTTGCCCCAAAGCAACACAGAAGTGACAGCTGTGCTCCCTGGCGCTCCTGCCAACTGCAGCCCCTTCCTGGGCACAGGGCCACCTGCGTAGGGACAGTGGCAGCGGAGCTCCCCTCAGGGGGTGTGTGGAGTGGGGGGGCCTCATCCCCCCTCAGCACCCCTAAGTCTCCGGGGGGCCGGGATCCTGGTCCCAGGGCCTCATGCTCCTGTGTTAGCCTGATCAGGTCCCGTGCCTCTCGGGCCTCCTCCCCTTCCTTCCCGAGTGGGTATGACGTCACGGGAAGAGCCGGGCTGCCGCCCCTCAGCACAGCTGTGACTTTCCTCCCGACTTCAGCTCCCGCCCTGGGCAGTTCACCCCAGTGATGGCTGTACGGCCTCTCGTACTCGGTGTGGAACCTGGTACCCAGCAGTTCCCTAAACCATCAACTGGAAGCGCCCTCTGGGGTCCCCCCATCCTGGCCGTTGCCTTGGAGCCAGAACCTGAAGAGTTACCAGCGGAGCTGCCGGGCCCTCTGGGTCCACAAAAGCTGCCGGTTCTCAGCTCCAGCTCTGACCCCAAGAAACTCCTAGTTCCAGCTGGTCCATGGTGGCCCAGGGCCCTTCTTGGGGTGACCCTCAGGCGGGAGCCCCGCCCCCACTATTCTCCAGCACTTCAGGCCATGCCAGGCCCTGGTTGAGGACCCCCGCCCTCTCCCCCTCCTCTCTTCCTAGTCTTGGCAGGGAACTTGCCCATAAGCACCCTCTTCTGAGGCGGTTGCGGTCCTTCCCCAGGCCAGGCACGGGGAACGGCTCGGGTGGGCTGGCCCCTGGTGTCCCCAGGGCCGCTCCTCCTTCCACAGCTCAGAGAGCCGCCCCTCAGGCTGCAGCTGCCACTGCAGTGGAGCCGGGAAGCTAGGGGAACAGGCATTGGGGCAGAACTTGGTTTGGGGGACAGGGAGGTGCATGAGGCAGGGAGAGACCCCATGCCACCAGCCTGCTGGGCAGGGAGGACTCGGCAGCAGAGCTGGGAAAAGCCAGCTGGAGGTTAAGGAAGTTGTTAATGTTTGGAAATGGGATCTGGGCTGTGAGGGCACCATGTCGCTGCTGCAGAGGGGACAGGCGGGCAAGCATGGGGCTGGAGACAGCCCGGGCAAGGGGCTCCCTGGCTCTGCAGCCCCGGGGGGCGGGGGTGGAGGGCAGGGGAGGGGTGGTAGCAGGCTGAGGGCTTGGGCAGCTCGGAGAAAGAAGTCAGAAAGGACAGTGTGGACTGGACTCTGGGGAAGTTCCTCAGGCTGGACAGGGGGTGGGGGATGGGGGGTGGGGGTGGATGGGCTCTGCATCTCTCAGCTGCCCACCTGCTACAAAAGCTGTTGTCCTTGAACTCCTGCCCCCAGATGAGTGGGGACAGGGTGAGGCTCTCACTACACACACACACACACACACACACACACACACACACACACACTCTCAAGGGCACCAGCAGCACCTGCTCACACACCTTCACCTGCCGTCCAATACGGACGGACAGACAGCCCAACAAGACATGCAGGCTGCAGTGAGTGCTCAGCCTCGCCCACAGCCTCGAGGAGCTCGCGCAAAGAGGCACGGGGGCCACCCTCCACCGCCCCTGGAATTCTGAGATGCGGCAGCCACAGGAGATCCAGGAACAATGCGGGGCAGCCAGCCTGGCTCCACCTGCGGGGAACAGCTGTCCCGCGGACACGCGCGCGCACGGGGGTGGGGGTGGGCAGGAAGGAGAGGCACGTCCCAGTTCCTGAGCACGCGTTTCCTGCAGGAAGCGTGCGGGGCCCCTGGGGGCGTCTGCGCCTTCTCTTTCATAGGCGCGTGCCCACGGCCACAGCCTCCCGCCTCTGCGGCTGAGCGGGGACCCTTCTGCACCCAACCCTGGGCAAGTCCCACACCTGGGCCGCCTCCAGGCCCACCCTCGGGGGCGCCCCCCGCAGCTCCTCCAAGCCCCACCGACTTCTGGGAGGGCGGCCGGACAGGGGCGGGCTGAGGGTCTCCTGGGGCAGCCGCCCTCCCGGCCGCGGGCCGCTCCCGCCCCGGGCGCCCTCGGTGATGAATGTCCCGCTGACCGGCTCGTTACTTATTGATGCTCCATCCGCTCGCCGATTGCCCAGCCTCGCTACCGAGGAAAAGGGGCCGCTTGTGCTTGTCCAAACCCGGGGAGCCTGGATGAATGTGCGGGCGCGGGGGTGCGGCGAGGCTGGCGCCGCATCTCATTGGCCAGGACGCCCGGCCCCGCCCCGGAGGAGGGGGGAGGGCGGCGGGCGGAGGGGAGGGGGCTCCCCTGCTCCGAGCGCGTGTGCCTGCGGCTCTTTCTGCGGGAGGCGGGCGCGTGTGCGCGGAGTTGCGCGCGTGAGATTGCCCGCGAGACCCCCGTCTCTCCACGAATGTCCTCAGGGGTGTGGCTCTGAGTGTCCACAGGGACCCACGCGGCCCACACCCAGGCCAGCGCAGTGCGCACGTGCGGTGTGAATGCCTCAGGTGCGCCTGCCTCGGCGGACAGGTGGGCCTTGGAGAGCCTTCACGAGCCTGCAGTTGGGTGGGGGGGCGAAGGGCGGGGGACGGGGTGCAGGAGCCTCACCAGTTTGCGCTGACACCAGTGGCAGAGGCCGCAGAGAAGGATAGTCACGCTAAGGCTGACGGTGATGATGGCCGAGACCAGCAGGACGTCGCGGGTGGGCGCCCCTGGGGAGGGAGGACGTGCACAGGTCAGACCCTCATTGGCCAGGGCCAGCCACCCTCCTCAGCCCAGAGCCCTCAGAACAACCACGCTGCCCGTCCTTCCCGCTGACCCCCAGCCTGGGAGCTCTGAGCCCCAAGCTCTGAGCCCACAGCTCTGCCCGAGAGGCCACCCTGGAGGGCTCCCCCTCTCCCTCATCTGTAAAACGAGGCAACTGTGCCGGCTGACACCTCTGCTGCTCTCTCCCTGCCCGGGCCTGTGTGAGCCCACAGGCTCCGTACCATCCCCCAAACTTGACACCCTCCAAGGGAGAAGCCAGCGTGCCCCTAGCCCCCCCAGTTCCCCCAGCCTCCACACCCCACTAAGACAGCCACTGCTTCTCCAGGCCCCCCTCCAGGCTCTGAGCTCTGAGCTCCACTCCAGCCAAATCCGCCCAAAGGGCCATCAGCTCCTACAATCCCTCTGAGGCATCTGCCCTGTGGGCACGGACAGACTCTTAAGTGTCTGGCCGAGGCTCAACAGCCACATGTAGAGTCCAGAACGAGATCTCTGGAACCCTCTGACCAGCCCTGGCCCCCTTAGCCCAGCTTTGCTAAGGAGTCTGCACACCCGCCCTCCCCTTCCCTCCCCGAGTCGCTGGGCCCGTGATGGACAATCTCCCGATCCCGAGCGCTCGCCGTGGCTTCCATTCCAAGAGCTCAGAGGTCCTGTGTGCCACGCCAGCACGGCCACGGGTGAACCTGGGGGGTAGGGGTGGGGGCGCGTGAAGGATTAGGAAAGACAGACGAGAGAATAAAGCTGGGGCTAGGTGGGACGCTGACAGACAAGAGAATAAAGCTGGGGCTGGGTGAGACGCTGTCCTCTGACTAGAGAGACAGCGCCACGGCCTGCAAACCGAGTCTTCATTTGATAGCAGATTCCACGAGGCACACTAAGGGCGGGTCAAGATGCTTGCAGCGTTCTCGCGGGTTTCGAATCCACTCAATCACAGGCACCTGATCGAGCTTTGTTTACTTGCTGCCCCTCCCGCAGCCCACAGCACTCAGCCACGTGGGACCACAGGTTCGGGCCATGAGGCCAAGCTCACAGCCATAGCCTTTGGCTGTAATTGTGCTGGGACCTGCACGTGGCTTTGCCACGAGAGGGGATCGTGCCCTCTCATTAGGCCCAGGCTTGAACCTGTCCAAACGCTGTAGCCGCTCTCCACAGTCCTGGACCTCAGGGTGGGAGTCTTCGTGGGCCTGCCCGGCGAGGAAAGCGCCAGGTTTCTGTGCAAATGGCGTCTCCTGCTCGCCGTGTGGCTGAGGGCGAGTCACAGACCCGCTCCGTGTGCTCCCCTGCAATGCAGATAAACCTTCTCCCTGCCGTCGCACAGGTGGTTGTACACACGAGCCCAAACCAGACACCAGGAAGGCGAAATCTGACCGGAAACGGTCATGTGAGGGAGTCGGGTGAGAACGGCACCATCACACGTGCTCTGTGAAGCTGCGAGCGCTGGATGCGTCCGAAAGTCAAGGAGACGCGGGTTGTTTACAGAGGAGCCTGCGTGGGGCTTCCGGTGCCAGGGGCTGGTCACTGAGAGTGGGTGACAGCTGTCTGTCTGGTCCTGGTTCCTGTGGTTTTAGGTACTGGGCTCATCCTCTTGCTTTACTGTGGGGCCTCAGAGAGAGGGCCCAGAGGTCACCCCCAGCTCTCAGGGCCCTCGGGGCTCCCCCCATCACCACTGCAGGGCCCTGGGCACTTGGTTCGCTACCTGCTCTCTCTGGAATCCTGCCTGAGCCTCCTCTCTCCCTTCCCCATTTCCGGAGCCTCCCAGCTGTGGGGAAAGGCTGCCCTCACCTGTCCCCCATCTATCTACCTGCCAGGCCAACGAAACTTCCTCTTGTCCCAAGTCCAGAGCCTCGGCCCTCAAAAGCCCCTGCAGCCAGTCGACTGTCACCCTCAGGGCCCACAGCTCCCGGGAGCTCTGGCCCAGGCCACCCAGACTCCAAGGAACCAGTGCCCTTCCCTCCGTGGGCAGGAGGGCACCTTCGCCAAAGTTCTCAGGCCAAATGGACAAATGGACGGCCTCCATCTTCAACCTCAGGTCTCCGACGGAGGACGGGGTGGCGGGGGGGGGGGGGGGGGAGTGACGGCCACAATTCCGCAGGCACGTCACCTGGGCCCCGAGAGGCAGGGCTGTGGTGAGGCGATGGGCAAGGTGCCTTCTGGGAAGAGGGCCTGCACTTTGCCCAGCTCCCTCCACGGGGAGGGCCTGGGGGAGGGGGAGAGCAGGTGGCACCACACCTTCCTTTGTCAAACTCCCTCCTCAATGACATAAATTCCATTTCGGGTTGAGCTTTCAACTACTCGCTACTGAGCATCTACCATGGGCACAGGGCACAGGCAAGGATCCGGCGATGACTTCCTAGCGCGTCAGGAGCCCCAGAACCGGTGAGCGGCAGGCCACCAGCCTGGAGCTCCAGACTCCAACACACCCGGGAAAGGACCCACGTGTGAGTACAGCCCCTGCCTCATTTAAAAAATAATTATTTCATTAAAAAAATACATATCCTTTTAAATTTATTTTCCAATTAGAGTTGACAAGCCTCTATTTCTTAGCAGCCGTGTGGCCTTGGACAAGTGCCTTAACCGCTGTGTCTCCGTTTTCTCCTTTATTCCGAAGAGAAGATAAAAATGCCATCCGCTCTCTGGGATGGCTGTTAGCACGCAATAGATCGGTTTGCTCACTAGGGTTGTTGGTGTTAGCTTTGTCTCAGGTATCAGCAGGGGGCTCTGGGAGCACACAGATGAATGGACTGCCGGATGAGGGAGCTATCAGGGAAGGCTTCCCGGAGGAGAGGGTCTTTGGTGTGGTCTGGGGGGTGGGGCTGAGGTGAGGGTAGCATACTCTGGGCAGAGGGAACAGCAAGAGCAAAGGAGGTCAGTGCTTTCATCTGTGCAAGAGCGCACCCTTCTCGCTCTGATGATGAGCAGGTGTCCTAGATGTTCCACGTGAGGCAACAACTCAGTGCTCACGGCAACGGCAGTCGGCGTTATGGTTATCCCTGTTTTACAGATCGGGGAACTGAGACACACAGAGGTCAAGCCCCTTGTCCAAGGTCACTCAGAGAGCAGGTGGGGGAGCCGGGGTTTGAACCCGGCAGCCTGGCTCGGAGCCTAGCCTCTGCTCTGTGCGCTTTTAGGAACACCGGGGGCTCCCAGGATCCCTCAAGGGCCAGGGAGGGGAGCTGAGCAGATGAGGCTGTGGCCCCACAGTCCTCTTCAACCCATGCAGCCCATTTCCTTCTGTTTCCCATCGTGGGGTGTTGCAGACAACAGACAAAAGGGGCATGTTGCTGAGGAATGTTGAGCCCCATCCCAGGGATCAGGGACCCTGGGACCCCCCCGCAGCATGGCAGATGCCATCGTCTTCCAGGCAGTGACCTCTCCCCACCAGGCTCCCAGCATCCCTTGCACAGCCCGCGAGGCCGGGGTGAAACGCTTGCCATTGCAAATTGCACCGATGCTGTGAGTAAGTGACACGACGTCCTCGGCCAATGCATGGCGCTGCCATCGGGAGGACAAGCACGTCCTCACCTGCCAGCCAGAGTGAACCATCCCCAGGGCCTGGAGTCGCAGCGTCTGGGGCTGGAGGAACCTCGGAAGTGAGGGGTCACCCCCCAGGCGGGGCGGCGACAGGAAGCAGCTTCGCAGGAGACGGGCCTCCAGAGACGGGCGTTGGGGAGGGCGGCCGAGCCTTGTGCTGAGCCGAACCCGCCTCCCCAGAACCTTCCCTCGTGGTCCTGGGCTTGCCCTCCAAACTGCTGGGAGCAAGCCGGCTCCCTCTGTCACACGCAGCCTCCAAATCCTTGCTGACAGCTCGCATGTCCCCTCCAGTCGTCCCCAGGCAAAGCCGCCCATGCCCTTCGAAACCTCCCTCCGATGACATGCATGGTTTCAAGTCCCCTTAGCGTCAGCATATTCACATTTGAGGAAAGAAAATATTGCCACCCTCACCCTCACCAGCCTTCTGACAGCGCTGAGTCCCACGACCTATCCCTGGGCAGAGGATGTGTCCTGGGTCCCGGGGGGCGGGGGGGACAGACAAGGGCAGACCGAGGGCATCAGGAGACCCGGGAGGCAGGGGAGGCAGGAGCGAAGAGGACCAGGCCTCCTGGGTCCCATCCCAGGGGTGTCCTGGGAGGGAGGGGCGAGCTCGGGCACACTGCTGCCCCTGTGCCCAGGCCTGTGGTGGGTGTGTCCGCCGGTCAGAGCTCAGGATCCATGACAGTCTAACGGAGACCTGGAGGCCCTGCCAGGTCCGGTGGGCAGAGCCTGTGCTAACCAGGCCACTCCCCGAGGAGCTCGCGGGGTCCGGCCTGGGCGTCCCAGGAGGCGGCCCACCTCTGAGGGCGATGAGGTCCTCACCCACAGTCTTCCCCTCTGTCCGCCCAGCACCAAGGACAGAGCTGAGCCCGGAGGCGTTGCTCAATGAATGCTTGCTGCCAGGACGGGTGGGGAGGAGCCCCAGGCCACTAGGAATAATGATGATAATAGAGGCTACCATGTGTTAAGCACCTGCTGTGTACCAGACTACAAGGCCCGAGAAGGCAGGGGTCCTGCTCTGCTGTCCCAGGATCCTCGGTGACAGGCTGACACTAAGTAAACATTGGTTGAAGGTTCAATGCCTGTGTATGTTACCTCATGTCACCCGAACAAGACGGGAGAGCAGAGACGGGAGGGGCTGCAGGGACAGGGTTTGAGAACCTCTCTTACACACACACACACACACACACACACACACACACCCCTTCCGTTCTCCCCTCGTGCCCATCTTTGCCTGACAATTCTTTTTTTAAAAAAAATATATTGATTTCAGAGAGGAAGAGAGAGAGGGAGAGAGAGATAGAAACATCAGTGATGAGAGAGAATCATAGATCGGCTGCCTCCTGCACGCCCCCCACTGGGGATGAGCCCGCAACCCGGGCCTGTGCCCTTGACTGGAATCGAACCTGGGACCCTT